CAACATATTGTATCTTTCTGTCCCATTTACCTTTTTATGTCCTTCTTGAGTCTGTACTTGAAGATCAAATTTTTTGTTGAGCTCTGGTCTTTTTATCAGGAAGTTTTGGAAGTCCCCTATTTCATTGAATATCCATCTCCTCCCCTGAAAGATCATGCTCATTTTTGCCTTATGGAATATCATGTTCCATGCCCTGCGGTCTTTTAATGTAGAAGCTGCAAGGTCCTGTGTAATCCTGTCTGTGGTTCCATGATATTTAAATTGTTTCTTTCTGGCTGCTTGCAGTATTTTCTCTTTCATCTGGTAATTTTGGAATTTTGCTATTATATTCCTTGGCGTTTGTCAATTTGGGATCTCTTTCAGGTGGTGATCAGTGGATTCTTTCTATGGTTATTTTCCCTTCTGGTTCTAGGACTTCAGGGCAGTTTTCCTTTATGATTTCCTGAAAGATACTGTCCAGGCTCTTTTTTTCATCATGATTTTCAGGTAGTCCAATAATTTTCAAATTGTCTCTCTTAGATTATTTTCCAGGTCAGTTGTTTTACCCGTGAGGTATTTCATCTATTTTTTCATTTTTTGTTTCTGTTTGACTGATTCTTGCTCTCTCATAGAGTCATTAGTTTCCATTTGTCCAATTCTAGTTTTTAACAGATTGTTTTCTTCTGTTAGTTTTTGTACTTCCTTCTTCAACTGGCCAATTGTTTTTTAGGGACTTGTTTTCTTCAGTGTACTTTTTTTCCATTGGCCAATTGTGTTTTTAGGGACTTGTTTTCTTCAGTGTATTTTTTTCCAATTGGCCAATTGTATTTTTGAAGGACTCTTCTACCTCTCTCATTTGACTTTAAAATCCTTCTTGAGCTCTTCTAAGAAGGCTTTTTGGGCTTCAGACCAGTTCATATTCCCTTTTGATGTCGCAGATGTGGGTTTGTTAACAACATTGTCCTCTTCAGAATTTCTGTCTTGATCTTCACTCTTCTCATATGAATCTAAGGTATCCTTCTTTTTACTCATGGTGTTCTTTTATTCCCTGGCCTTTACAGAGATTAAGCTCTCCTGCTGAGGAGCAGAGAGCACTCACCCAAGCTTCTTGTGTTGGGAGCCTAGGTCTTGGTCACTGGCTTTGTGTGCTGGGGCCTCTTATGTTGGCAATTGGAGGCTGGAGGGTTCTGGCAGCTTACCTGGTGTTGGGCTGGAATCAGCAAGGCTGGAACTTTTAGGCAATTCTAGGTTGTCTATTTTTCCTTTCCTTTAGTTTTCTTCAGCTCCTTTTATTTGGGTGCTGCAGGGTGTTTATCTTCCTGGGGCCCTTTGTAGTGCTGATTCCCTTATTTTTGCCGAATCACTGGGAGACCCCTTTGCTGTAGAATGTTGAAGCACCAGGATCTTCTCTTGGTGTGCTAAAGTGTGGTTTTCTGCTAGCTCACTGGGATGCCTCCCATTCTGTACTGCTTCCCTTTCCCCAGGGTAAGAGGGGCCTTTCCTGTTAATCCCTCAAGCTACCTGGGCTACTGCACTGCTGCTCCCCATCTTTCTTCTGGTTCAGTTGTTCCAGGTTTTTTTCTGGGGTCATATTTTCTGGATTTTCAGAGGTTGATAGGGGAGGGTGAGAGAGACTACTTTTTTACTCTGCCATTTTGGCTCCTGGAAGTGGAAGTCCTTTACCTCTTTTCATGTGAAATAATTTACCACATTCCACCTCTCTCTTCCTTCTGTACCCAGTGTACTCCTCTTTCTCATCCCTTAATTATTTTTTATGTCATTCTCTCTGATTCACTTTATACCTGTACTCTCTGTCCACGTATATTCCTTCTAGCTGTACTATTAGTGATACAATTTTTAAGAATTACAAGTATCATCTTCCCATGTATGGATGTAAATAGTTTAGCTCTATTGAATTCCTTCTATATTCTTTTCTATTTTTCCCTTTTTAGGCCTCTCTTAGGTCTTGATACTGGAAATCAAATTTTTTGTTAGTTCTGGTCTTCTTATGAAAGCTTGAAATCCTTCTACTTCACTGAATGACCATTTTTTTTCTTTTGTAGTATTATGCTTAATTTCACTGGGTAGGTGATTCTTGGTTGTTGTCTAGCTCCTCTGCATTCCAGATTAGCATGTTCCATGACCTCTGATCTTTTAATGTTGCAGCTGCTGAGTCCTGTGTAATCGTAATTTTGGTTCCTCGATATTTGAATTGTTTCTTTCTGGCCACTTGCAGTATTTTTTCCTTGATCTAATAGTTCTGTAATTTGGCTATACTGTTCCTTGGAGTTCTTATTTTGATATCTCTTTCCTGAGATGATTGGTGGATTCTTTCAATGCCTCTTTCGCCTTCTGGTTCCAGGATATTAGGGTAGTTTGCTTAGATAATTTCTAGAAAGATGCTATCCAGGACTGACTTTTGATTATGGCTTTCAGGTAGTATGATTCTGACCTTATCTCTCCTGGATTCCAGGTAAGTTGTTTTTTTCCAATGAGGAATTTTACATTTTCTTCTATTTTTTCATCCTTTTAAATTTCTTTGATTGATTCTTGATGTCTCATAGAGTCATCAGCTTCTACTTGCCCAATTTAACTTTTAAGTAGTTCTCTTCCTCAATTAGCTTTTGTTTCCATTTGGCCAATTGTACTTTTTAAGGTGTTGTTTTCTGCAGTGGATTTTTGTATCTCCTTTTCCCTTTGGCCCACTCTACTTTTTAAGCAGTGTTTTTCTTTTTTCGAGCTATTGACTCTTTTTTTCATAATTCTCTTGCATCACTCTCATTTCTTTTCCCAATTTTCCTCCTACTTCTCTCATATGATTTTAAAGCTTCTTTGTGAGTTCTTCCATGAGTTCTTTGTGGGCTCAAGACCACTTCCCATTTTCCTCTGCAGCTTTGCCTATAGGTGTTTTGACATTGTTGTCCTCTTCCGAGTTTGTGTCTTGATCTTCCCTGTCACCATGATAACTTTCTATGGTCAGATTCTTTTTTTGTTGTTTTTTGCTCATCTTTTTTGGCCTTTTCCCTTTCTTTTAATTTGAGTTATACTCTTGGGATGGAAGGGACACTGTCTGAGGCTTCTTGTGCCAAGGACCACCGGCCCTGACGGTTTACCTGGTGCTGCACTGGTGTTGCCCTGAGGCCTATGGGTGAAGCCATGGTGCTGAGCTGAGGGGGTGGGGTGGGTGGGGACTGATGCTCCTGGAGTCAATAGGGGTCTGGCAGCTTACCTGGTGCTGAGCCGAGGTCCTAGTGCTGGTGTCTAGTGGCTGAGGCCATTAGGGTGTTTCTGTATTTCCCCAGGGCTACACTGGAAGACATGGATGTCTTGCTGCTGGCTGCTGCCTGTTTGCTTAGGCACCTGTAGGGTTGGCTCTACCTGTTTACCCAGGACTATCCTGAGCATGTAGAAGTCTGGCTACAGGAGGCTGCCTGTTTGGCTAGGGCTATGCTGAAACTTGTGGAGGTCTGGTCCCTGAAGGTTGCCTGTTTGCCAGGGGCTAAGCTGAAGCACATGATGGTTCTCATAGCTGGAGTCTGCTTGGTCCCCTGGATATGCTGAGGCAAGTGTAGGGGGCCCTGGTGTTGTGTTTGCCTGCTCCACTGCACTGGGGCTTAGAATCTCTTGCTGGTTTGTTGAGGTGGGGCTTGCTGTGGGCTTTCTGGGATGCGTCCTGTCCTGGAATATGCTCCTCTTTTACCCGACACAGACCTTTCTTGCTGATCTTCCAAGTTTCTTGGACTCAAAGATGGTTTCACCCCATTTTTTTTTGCTGGTTCTGCTGTTCCAGGTTTTGTTCTGGGGTGCTATTTTATGGTTGTTGAGAGGTGAATATGGGTTATGGTGATTTACTGCTTCCTCTGCCATCTTGGTTCCTGGAAGTAGATTTATGTGATCATTTTAAATTGAGTTTGGGTTATGTGCCTATGATTTCCTGGTCCAGAGTTTCAAAGTTTCTTGCTTTTGATTTGACTTTGTCTCTTTCACACAATCCACCTGGCCTGCCCAGCATTGCTTTGTGCTGGGTTGTGTGTTGTCTACATTGCAGCAAGCTGGTCATTGACTGACACAACTATGGATATACCATTTTAGGTCTGACACATGGATTTGGCCACCCTCTTGTATAGCTGGCTAAGTGGTGGTGGGGGGCAGAAGGGTCTTGAGACTGAGTGACAAACTGGGCATTCTGGACACAGCTGGAAGATGACTAGGGAAGGAGCAATAGTGCAGAGAGGCATGACAAAGTCAGCTTGTTGTGTTGTTCTGGGGCAGTAAGAGGTTAGACGAGGAACTGAAAAATCCATTGTAGTAGAACAGTACCCGCACAGGCCTGGACTACTTCCCACAAGTGATCTGGATAAGGCTACTCTTGGCATTCAATACTCAGTAAATACTCAGTCACTGACTGACCATAAGTAGTCATGGCAGTGATGCATTGGGCCCTAGCATAGAAGTTTGACAATGTAACCTTCCCAAGTATGAAAAGCTCTGTGGCTGCTTGTCAGATCTGAAATTGTGTGTGAACAATGTAATGAGAGAAGATTTGGCAAAGAACTGGAATACAAGGTATGCAAGGCACCTGGACAGACAATTAGGATTGGAAGAAGGAGGAAAGGTTCATTGTATGGGGAACTATATGCTCAGGAATGTTTGTAAAGGACTTTGAAAACACCAGGCACAAAGGTATGTTTACTAATTATATTAGTATACAGAAGGAGCAGGGTAAGTAAAACCTTTCCTCATCCATACAGATGGTTCAATTTATCTTGAAACATCTCTGGAGGTTTCTCTGAAAAATTCTGAGTTCTGACTGTTCCTGAGTGAGAAGGAAAAAGGGAATGTAATTTTCTTGGGCCCTGAGCCTGTCCACTTGGTATCTACACTTCTCTGGTCCTTCCCAGCCTTCTACTTCCTGGTCTTTTCTCTAGAGCTTTTCAATGATCTAGCTGCAAAGCTGTGACCATCTATGACAAGCCAGCAAGTCTCTCCCCTAGAGACACAACATCAGCTGTTCATGAAATTGGGCCACACCTACTCCCCATTCAGAGCAAGGTATGTCTCCTATACCCCAAGTAGTTGGTTTGTCCTCTCACTTGAGCCTGTAATCTCTGCCACAGTTTAAGAGAATTCAGATAGGGTAAGAATAATGTTGACATTTCTCCCCCCTTATCTTTGGGGCTTCTGATGACAAGAAAGTCTGTTGGTGTATGTCACCTGGGAGATCTCATAAAGATAAATAAGACTCTCATTGGCTTGGGAGCTTGGCCCAGGACCTCTGTCCATACCATGGTATAGGGAGGTGAACCACATCATCTAGTGTCTCAGGGCCTCCATCCACATCAAGGAGATGCTGGTCTGGTCTCTACCATTTGATAATGTCCTCATCTCTTTTTCTGTTTAGCACAGAACCCTGGGACCCAGGCTTTGAGAGATCTGTACTCACTGAACTCAATCCTAGGAACAGGAAAGTAATATAATTTGATTGATGGCCAGCTTTGCCGGTCAGCAGCACGAGCTGAACAGGTCTTGAGGTCTTTCTGAATTGGACACTTTAGGCATTACAGTATTGTCTCTAAGGTCATATTGTACTGAGGGCTTTTTTTTTTTTTGCTACTTCCTATTTTACTATTTTGTGCTTGAACAGAAGTAATACTTAAAAATTTTCAATTTAATAGTATTTTATTTTTTCCAATTATATGTAAAGATAGTTTTAAACATTAATTTCTATGAGATTTTGAGTTCTAAATTTTTCTCCCTCCCTTCCCTCTACCCCCAAGACAGTAAGCAATCTGATATAGGTTCTACATGCAAAATCATGTTAAATATATTTTCACATTAGTCATATTGTGAAAGAAGAAGCAGAACAAAAGGGAAAAACCACAAGAAAACAAACAAAAAAACAAAAAAAGTGAAAATAGTATGCTTTGATCTGTATTCAGAGTCCATAGCTCTTTCTTTTGATATGGATAGCATTTTCCATCATGAGTCTTTTGGAATTGTCTTGGATCAGTGTATTGCTGAGAAGAGCTAAGTCTATTATAGTTGATCATCTCACAATGTTTCTGTTACTGTGTACAATGTTCTCTTGGTTCTGCTCATTTCACTCAGCATCAGTTCATCTAAGTCTTTCTGGGTTTTTCTGAAATCTACCTGCTCATCATTTCTTATAGTACAATAGTATTCCATTACATTCCTATCTTGTTCAGCCATTCCTCAAATGATGGGCATCCCCTCAATTTCCAATTCTTTGCTACCACAAAAAGAGCTGCTATAAATATTTTTGTATATGTGGGTCCTTTTCCCTTTTTTATGATCTCTTTGGGATATAGACCTAGCAGTGGTATTGCTGGACCAAAGGGTATGTACAGTTTATTTGAACTTTGGGCATAGTTCCAATTTCCTCTCCAGAATGGTTGGATCAGTTCTCATAACTCCACCAACAATGCATTAGTGTTCAAATTTTTCCCCATCTTCTCCAACATTTCTGCACACCATGGTTGGAAGCTGGTGATTACTCTTTGCTTCTGGGTAAGAGCAGCCTATGGAGAATAGGCTTATCCTGAAAATGGAGTAACACTTAGACATTATCTAGCTGCCCTGAGGTTTTTCTAAAAGATTTTGAACTTTGCTCCTGAGTAGGAAGGAAAAAGGGAATGTAATTTTCTTGGGCCCTGAGCCTGTCCTCTTGGTATCTATACTTCCCTGATCCTTTCCAGCTTCCTACTTCCTGGTCTTCTCTCTAGAGCTTCTCAATGATCTTGTTTCAGAGCTGTGACCGTCTATGACAAGCCAGCCTTGTTTTTTAAAAATACTCCCCTAGAGACACAACATCAGCTATTCATGAAACTGGGCCACACCTACTCCCCATTCAGAGCAAGGTATGTCTCCCATACCCCAAGTAGTTAGTTTGTCCTCTCACTTGAGCCTGTAATCTTTGCCACAGTTTAAGAGAATTCACATAGGGTAAGAATAGTGTTGACATTTCTCCTGCTTTTTAAGCCCCGGATTCTCTATCATCTAACTTGGAAGAAAATTTAAGTTCTCTGTTTTGGCTATAAATCTGTCAGGGACAGATTTATTAATTAAATAATGCTTAGCATCATTTCTTAGAGAAATGCAAATAGACAGAAATTTATCCTGCCTTTGAAAAAAATCTTTCTCTTTAGCAGAGATCCTTAGAATTATTTTACCCCTTTGTAAATTTCAGCTTCCTCTAGGCTGTATGTACCAGCATATTGTTCTAGTGGTTTATGCCAATTGTGAACACTCCCTTTGGGGATACTTTTAAGCAAGATGATTAGAAATTTTGCTACTTTAACCCACATCCCAGCTGTTACCTGTAGAACCAGTAGTTCAAGTCTGCAGAGCTCCTTTAGGACTGTTTTATAGATTGGTTTATTTTTCTTAAAATGTTTCCTTTCTCCCTACTTTGGCAGGATCAGCAGATCTTGGTGTCTGCCTCCACAAATCCTCCAGTGGCTTGGATCTTCCCATGAAGGTGGTGGATATGTTTGGATGCTGCTTACCAGTTTGTGCAATACATTTCCAGTGGTAGGGATTTTAAATTTATGTTGTAAAGCAAGGGGGAAGGGTTTGTGAAAGTTACTTAGTGCTGTACCTGAATCATTTCCATGGACTTAGAACTTCTGTAGATAAATTGAAGTCTAGATGCAGTCTCAGCCTGTCAGTGTTTTACAGTCAGTATGCTTTGTCACCAATGTGTCTGAGCCTATCTTTGAGGGTTGACTTTTACCTCTATTTATCAGATTCATAATATAATGAGCAAATAAAAACCAGATTTTTCTCATTCCATTTGCCCTTAGAAGTAGATCATTACAGGGTGGTGCAATGATCCTTTGTTTCTTCTTCCAAGTTTCAATTCTTTTGTGATTCTTTTTTGCAGTTTACATGAACTTGTGAAACATGAAGTAAACGGCATGGTGTTTATGGACTCTGAGCTTGCAGATCAGCTGAAGGTAGAGATGTTGGGCTTGGACTCTTCAACACCATTGCATTCTACCCTCATCTTTGTCTTTCCAGTCTCATTTGCTAATGGTATCCTTGGTGGGAATGGTAAAAGAAAACTAGGTTTCTGGGGTCTCACTGCCTGATGAAGGGAGGGAGAAGAAGCTAATAAGCACAACAGGTGGGGCCTTCATCTTTTGTTTCTCTTTTATAGATGCTTTTCTCAGAATTTTCCAGTCCTGATAACAGACTGAAGCAGTTCAGAAAAAACCTTACAGAATCAAAGCAGCTTTGCTGGGATGAGAGTTGGGAGCAGACACTGTTCCCATTGTTTACTCACACTTGTGGGGTTTGGTCAAAGACTTGAATTCAATAAACATCTTTTTTTTTAGTTTTGTTTTTAGGCAATTGGGGTTAAGTGACTTGCCCAGGGTCACACAGCTAGTAAGTGTCAAGTGTTTGGTCTGAGGCCAGATTTGAACTCAGGTACTCCTCACTTCAGGACCAGTGGTCTATCCACTGTGTCACCTAGCTGCCCCTAACAAACATCTTTTAAATAAGAACTTACTGTGTGCAAGACATTACGCTAAGGTGGTATAGATACAAAGTTGAAAAAATTGTATTCTTGCCCTTAAGTGATACAGTTTCATAAAGGGCTTAAGAAACATGCCCATGAACTATAATACATTAGAAAATGATTAAATAAATAGGAGAGGTAAAAGAATGTCTTGAGACACAGAGAGGGACTAATTCTTGTGGAGGGGATTATGAAAAGCTTCATGGAAGAAATATTATCTGAACTAGACTATGAAAGATAACAGTACCTTACATTCACATAACACTTGAAGTTTTCCAAAGGCAAAGCAGCAATCAGTAGGATAAGAGGGAGTCAGGGCCTAAACCAGAGTAGTAGGAATGGAAAAGAGGTTGATATTTCAGAAAGTAAAAGGATTATTTCAGAGGTGACTGATGTTTTAAGCTAGAGAAAAGACAGTAAAACTGTTCATATACAGAGAAAAAACAGGAGGAGGAATAGGTTTTTGGGGCAACTCAATTTTAGTTGCATTCATTAAAATTTTTTTAACAAGCATTTAGTTTCTTTTCCTCTCATCCTTTTACCCCCAAATAAACAAAAACAATTTAAAAAACCCTCATAACAAATATACATAGCTAACTAAATCAAATTCCTTTTTTTTTTTTTTGGCTAGGCAATGAGGTTAAGTGATTTGCCCAGGGTCATACAGCTAGTAAGTGTCTGAGGCCACATTTGAACTCAGGTCCTCCTGACTCCAGGACCAGTGCTTTATCCTCTGTGCCACCTAGACGCCCCAGTAAATCAAATTCTTGCATTGGCCACGTCCAAGAAAATTTTGCCTTCTTCTGCATCTTCAGTATATCACCTTGTTGTTAGAGGTGGGTAGCATACTTCATCACAGGTAGACCCTCTGGAATTGTAGCTTGTCACTGCATTGATAGGAGTTCTCAAGTCTTTCAAGGTTGCTTTTATAATGCTACTATGTAATTTTTTCCCCTAGTTCTATCCATTTCACTCTGTATCAATTGTTTCAGGTCTTCCCAGTTTTCTCTGAAATGTCCATTTTATTACTTTTTGCCATTCACATGCCACAATTTGTTAAGCTGTTCCCTACGCTTTTTTCTTAATATAAAAAGTTACTATATTTTTGTAGATAGAGCAATAGACCTGGAGTCAGGAAGACCTGAGTTCAAATCAAACACTAACTAGCTATGTCACCCTGAGCAAGTCACTTAATCACTATCACAATTTCCTTATCTGTGAAATAGGGAATAATAACAGCACCTACCTCCCAGGGTTATTATGAGGCTTACATGAGATAATAATTATAAAGTGCTTTGCAAATTTAAAGAGATATATAAACTAGCTAAATATGGGCATTACAGTAGATGGAACACTGGACTTAGAGAGAGGAAGCCTGTGTTCAAATTCCGCCTCAGACATTCCTTAGCTAGGTGACCCTTGGTGGGTCACTGTATCTCTCTGTGCCTCAGTTTCCTCATCTATAAAACTAATATCACCTACCTTATAGCTGTTATGAAGTTCAAAGAATTTAACATGTGAAAGACTTTGCAAACTTTAAAGCACTACAGAAATGCTAGCTGTTATTTTTAGCTATTATTTCTTTTATGTCTTTGGGTATAATAAGTTTAATTTTAGATTTGTTGACTTTGAAGTGCTTTCCAGGAGGCAGTTGGAAATTTGGTTCTAGAAAGCTTGAGGTCATGGAGATTTGGGAATCTTCTTTGTAGAGGTGATAGCTGAAGTTGTGAGTGTGTGATACTGGTGCAAGCATAGAAGGAAAAGGCTGAGGAGAGAACCTGAAGGGAATATTCATATTTGGGAGGGAAACTTCTAAAAAATGAGGAGGTTAGGCTTTAAAGGTCCCTTCCAACTCTAAAATCCTATAATTCTTCCTTTGAGAAGTCAGAGAAGAAATGATGGAAAGAAAGAAATTCTGCCACATGGAAAAGAAGGACGTTGAGGTAGCTCACATCAGATGACCTTGACTATCTCAGGAAAGTAGGAAGGTCCATGAGAAAGCAGAGTTAAGGGATGAGATTAGGTGCATGGGGACATTAGAAAAGTCTGAAATGCCCAGAATGGAGAATGTGATGGAGTATCAACTAATGAACACTGGAATCACCAAGGGCCCAGCTGAGGCCAGACAGTATAAATGCAACATGTTAGTACAGTTATGACTGTCCCTTGTAACACTTAACAGCCTAGAAGCTGAAATAATATATGGGCACTTCCCTAGGCTAGAGAGTGGCAATGGAGGAGAGTGAAAGGCCAAAAGGTGCCAGGATGCTAGTGAGAGCATGTTTTAAATGGCTGAGAAAAGGCTGGGGAGGGTGGCAAAGACAGCCAAGGAGGGACCCAGGAGTTAAGTTCAATCTGAATGAGGGTGGGAGGCTATAGTAGAGAGGGGATGTTCAGAGGTCAAAATCTTGCAGGTTGTGGGGCAGCTAGGTGGCCCAGTGGATAGAGCACTGGGCCTGAAGTCAGGAGTACCTGAGTTCAAATCTGGCCTCAGACCAAACATTCAACACTTACAACTGTGTGACCCTGGGCAAGTCACTTAACCCCAAGTACCTAAAAATAAAAAAAAAATCTTGGAAGTTGAAATGAAACATGTACTAATGTTAAAATGGGAGGAAAAAAGCACTCTGTTTTATCTTTACAGGTAAAATAACTGTATTTTCACTCAATTTTAGTTTATGGATTTACAGGGAGTTGCTCACAGAGCAACAACTACATGTCCCATTTCCTTTTTCCTTATAAGGAAATAATTGGTCCAATGATTGAAGTTTTATTCAGAAGCTCCAAAACAGAACTTTTCTGTAAAAATAGTCCAAATCTTTACTGTAGCCTTGAAATATTTACACAATCTACACCAATAATCTTAGAATTACCATCTCTGAATGCTTTTCATATGGAAACAATTTCTGGTTGTGACTAGGAAGTTTTTGCCATCCAATCCCAACTCTACCTAGAAAGAAATAGAAAATGTGTTAATACAGTGGTGCTTTAGGGGTATGGGTTTAGAGGGAAGCATTAGTGAATGGCTGTCAGTACAGAGCTGTGTGCATTGTACTTGTCATCCATATTATGTATTAACACTTTGTTCAAAAATTACTGTTTTCCTTAAGCTGTGAGAACATCAGATTCTGACCCTTACAGAGAGATTCTTGATTATTTTTTGTTCCTAATGAACACAATGATATAAAGTTATATGATTTATGTAATACTGAATATCAATACTTTGATGAGAATTTTTCAAAAATTAGATTGAGAGTAGAAATGGCACTTTAGGGATAATCTATTAATTTCCCAATGCTATTTGATTTTAGCTAAAATCCACAGTAGAGAACAACCATTACCAAATTCATTATTTACGTTTATATTGCCAAGGTTCATTATTTCTTTAAAGCTTTCTACCTTATGAAGAGGGTGTTAGCATGCAGAAGTGTTTGTTAAACTTGATTCCAAGTATACTTGTGAAATGCAAACATGTTTTCATTTACTAATGGCTTCGATGATTGTAGAAGCACTTAATTACTTGTCAGATTAGGATTAAAAAAACAACCCATCAAGTGTGCTAATTGCTTCCTGCTGTTAGCTGTGGGATGGAAATTGAAGAATTTATAAAAGATCTGTTCCTTAACAGTAATCTTTTTTTGGCTGTTGTACCATCAGATACACTAGAAGGGTAGAGACAGGTCTGGAGAATATTCTGGTGAATAATAAAATTATATTAAGCTTTAAGACTTAAGGGAGGGAAGAAATTAAGGGAAAGCGTTTAGGGATTTTAAAAAAGTAACATGCTTAACTCAGTGCTGGAGAATAGAAGTCATTTTAGTTAAGCAATAAAAAACTATGACATGGAACTCAAATGTCTGCAAGATTTACCTGTTTCATTCTTGGCAGCAGGCCCTGAATCTTTCCTTGCCTTACCACTAGCTATAGCCAGTGTGAGAATTAATTCTTATTGCCAGAAGCAATTGCCATCCAGAGTAATTTCTATTAGTGGGTCACTGGTACCATACCATCCTTTTCTCTCCACTCTTCTGGCCTCCTTGCTTTACCTTCTCCAGGTCCACTTTGCAAATATTTACTGCAGGCCTAGATCTGTCTCCTTGAGGAAAGCAACTAGACTAAACATATTCTCCCCTCCCTCTCAATGTACTTACTGAGTTCCGTTTTGAACAGCTGGTAAGTGTCTGGGTTCCTTATAGTGAAGGCAATGTACACCTCTGGAGATCCCTGATCTGCCTGGCAAGCAGAGAGCTTTTGCAGCACTCCAATGAGGGAGAGGATGATCTCTGGATCATATAGCACATCTACAATGAAAAATTCAGATCAGTCACTTCCCTTTAAGTTTATTACTTAAAAATATTAAAAATGTTATGTACTTTCTTGACTTATGAAGCAAGGGTAGAGCCTGGAGAATGCAGCAATTATAGTCATTTTATGCATCATAAGGTGAAGGAAAATTACTCAGAATAAAATGAAATAATCTAGGAGAAAAGTTTATGTTCAAGCTGCTAAAAGGTACTACATCAAAAAATAAAAATCAGAGGCAATGATTTGTGCCTATATATATTTTTAGCTTATTGGTCAATATAAAAGATGCTTAGTGAAGCAAAACCTAACCATTTCTGTCTTCTAAGATTGGCATATTAAAAAGACCACTAGGTTTGGAATAGTAGGACCTGACTTCGAATCCCACTCTGCTGCTTACCATCCTATAACTTGGAAACAACTCACTAACCTCTGACTCATATATAAAAATGAATGGGGGTCTGAGGTCCCTTCCAACTTTTATTTGTGATGCTGTGTTCTGATGATTTTTCAGTTCCAGTTTACTGGAATGACTGCAGCCCATGATTGGGAGGAAAGAAGATCTTTTTTTTTTTTTAAAGATTGTTTAAAAAGAATTGGATCAAATTCTTATTTCTTTGGTAGACTGCCCCTCTAACATCTTGGGGTAGCTGAAGCCTCACAATGAAATGGATAATCAACCAGCCTATACAACAGAAATAAATAATCACAGATTTTTAATTAAGAGACTTCAGTCAGAGATGCTAACCAGGTCCTGTGTGAACAAAAGATGAGAATAATAGGACTACTGAGGCTAGCTTATTGTGGTCTCCTAATGTGATCAGTGAAAAACATTGCTGTTCTACATGAGTAGTTCTTAAAATGGTGCTTGTCTCTGAAGCTATCTTCACCTCTTGTTATCCAAGTAGGGATGTCTGTAAAGTGTTTCAGAAATAGAAGATGCAATAGGAATATGAGTTCTTTAAAAAGCAGGGTGTTAAAAAAGAGCACTGGGCTGGGAGTTAGAATCACTAGCTATATGACCATGAGCAAGTCAGACCCTCATTTGACCAATGAGTAAACTATGACTCACAGCTTAATACATGCACTATTTACCCCAATAGGATTGTTGTGAGGAAGGGACTTTCTAAATGGGAGTTATTGCTCCTCTTTAGCCATGACAAGAAACCTAACAAGGGAAGAGAATATGTTTCTCACATTTTTGGCTGTGAAGGCATGGTAGCCAAAAATGTCCAAAAATTTAAGCAGAGATTTTTTCAGTGGGGCTTTCTAAGAGTACTAAGTAGTGAACTGGTAGTACTCTCAAAGTAAGATGCAGAGCAAGAAACAACCCTGCTGAAACGATGAAATAAAAATCCCTCTAATCGACTGTGACTTGGTTAAAGGGTCAGACTTGCTGCTAGAAGCCCTGGGGAATTTCACCTCAAAACTGATATCTGGAATATAACTGAAGATTCTCTTACTGGGCAAAACCAGAGATCATTCACCTGATACATACATACATGAAATGAATCTGAATAGCTGTAATCTAAAATGAGGATGGTATGCATTTAGTAACTCATAGTTGCCAATGGTAACAGTCTCTTGTATTTACTTTACTCAGGGGAATGAAAAATAATTTCCCAAACATTCCATCAAGTTTTCTTGTGCTTAACATTTTCCACCACTGTACCCCTTCTCTCCATCAACCTGTATTCCTCATCTCTAACATGATCTGTCTTGGTCAATACCTGCTGCAATGATGACATCTGGTTGGAAGACAGAGAGTTGTTTGGTAGTAACTAGATCCCAGTCCAACTGAACAGCCATCACAGTGGGTTTGGGTGAGACCAATGTCCTGACTGAAGGTTGCAGGGGTGCTGTGGAATCTGGCTCTAGCAAGAAGCCATTTAGGAGGATATTTCCTTTGAGCTGATGAAGAACCTGATTGTGACAGTCACTGAAGATATATGCTTTGGGAGAGCACATCTTGCAAATAGCCAGGCCTGTAAAACCAACTCCACTTCCAAGTTCCAAGACTGTTCTGGGTGTGAGAAGTAAAAAAAAGGCAGCAAATTACTATTTCTGCAAGTATCAACCCACTTTCTCCTGTTTGCTTCAGCTCCTGTCCCATCTGTTACCTGTTAGTGAAGACTGCTGGGTTTTCTATGGCCCATTCTGCAAGGTAGAGAGCAGCATCCCACGTGACCAGGCCTGTGGTACCCTGAGAAATGATTGCTGTACTTTCAAAGAGGGAGACTGAATTTCCAGAGGGCTGGTACAGAGAGAGAGAGAGAGAGAGAGAGAGAGAGAGAGAGAGAGAGAGAGAGAGAGAGAGAGAGAGAGAGAGAGAGAGAGAGAGAGAGAGAGAGAGAGAGAGAGAGAGAGAGAGAGAGAGAGAGAGAGAGAAGTTCTTTAACAAAGTAAAACCATTTGCTTCTTTAAATATGAAATGAACAGCAAATCATCATAAATCTCAGTTAGAGCCTTCTTTGACTCCCTGAATTACCCATGGCATGTCCCTCTGGCCATTAAGGCTTCTATAAACACAAAAAATTAAAGGTGAACTCTCATATTCTCTTACCTTTGTGGTTCCCTACATATAGCACCAAGAATACTATTTGGACCGTTGGCTAAGACTATGCATGACATTCAGCAGTAGAACCTTTATGTTTCTTCAGGAAAATGAGGTGAATAGCCCGATGACTTGTTTCTGCTTGTTGTTGAAGTGTACGTGTATATCATGTATATCACATGGACCAATGACACCTTCTGCAACTATTGTCCTGTGAGATAACATTTGTGCCACTAGAGACAAGACACTTTTGCCTACCAAGTAAAAAGCATTTCTTCAGTGCCTCCCAACCCTGTGGCAGGAACTATTCTAAATGCTCAGGATATGAAGAAAAAATGAAAAGGTTCCTGCCTTTAAGAATTTACAGTCTAGCCAGAGACAACGTGTGTGTGTGCTGTGTGGGTGGCTACATACGTGTGTATGTGTGTGTGTGCGTGTGTGTATATATGTTACATGTATTTATGTATACAATAACTACAAGGTAATTTGTGGGAGGGAGGAAATGCATTAGCAAGTGGGAGGAGCAGAACTGTTTCATATACTTATACCATTTGAGTTACACCTTGAAGGGAATGAGAAAAGTCTAAGGGACGAGGTGAGGAGGGAATGCATTCCAAATATGGGGGACAATCAATGCAAAGGCATGGCATTTGGACATGGAGTGTCAAATGTGCCTTTGGACACAGTCTACATGAACGGGAATAATGTAGGAAAGGTAGGGCTGCTTCCTGGGTCAAAGTGTGAGGAAAGTCGGTGAAACTGTCCTACCAGCAAATAACTCCGGTGGCCCTGGGTGGATTCCTCAGCAGACAGAATTTCAGCTAATGCTTCATAGAGCTCATCCAAAGGCTCTGTGTGAGCAGCCTCATGCTGTGGACATACAAGAGTGAGCAGGAATTCAAGGATTCAGCTAAGAGGATTAAATGACAATTATTAATCATTTTTGGTTAGGTAGTAAAGAATGGTATCACTGACAAGACTTTCCTATCCATGTGGCTGTGGTGGGTCTATTGTCTCCAGGTCCCCATCCTGGAAGCAGACAGTTGGAAGATAAAGGCATGTTTGTGGGCTTAGATGCTGACATCAGCCAAGACATAACCATCATCTCGAAGCCTATTTGCCAGCAGTGAACAAGGAAGTTTGGCCTCTTCCTACAAATCCAATCCATGTTCAGGGATGATCAGGAAGAGTTCCAGAAACTCTATTCACCTTCAGAGCACACACTGCTCTGGTTCAGTCTGTGAAGCAGAGCTGTCAGTTCTTTACCTTCTTAATTAGCTCAGAGAGGAAACACCGAGTGTATTTCACTGATGGTGGATGTTTCACACACAGTGGATGCAGGACAGTCTGTGACAAAAAACAAACAAGAGGTTGTTAATGGAACTAGTCTTTTAATCTATTTTATTTTTATTATTCCTTAGTTTTTCAAGCTTTAATTTAGAGGCACAGCTCAAAACTAGCTTGATAACCTCAAAGTAAGGAGATTTTGAGGGCAGGGCCTTGTCTTACCTTTGTATTTGTATTTCCAGTGCTTAGCAAAGTACCTGACAACATAGTAGGAGTTTAATACATTCCTGTAGACTGATTATCGATTTGGAGGAGAATATAGGGTGGGCACATATGGTTATAACCATAACCATGCCTGATACACTCAAAAGATTGACTCAAAATTCAAAAGTAATATCCCAAGAAATATCTGTTTCACAGGAGAAAGGAATACTGAGAAAAGTGTTTCTATATCTAGAGAAAGACCCTGACCTCTGGCAGGAGCCAAAAGCTCACTGACTCTGTCCAGATTTCTTTTGGGCTGGCAGTGAGTGAAAAAAAATCACTGGATTACCATGAACGAAAGTTGCAATTTCACAAATCTACAGGTATTTGCAATTAAGAGATTATAGTTCTAACAAACTACCTTATTTGGCAGAGAATGCATTACGATACAGTTGCAGTTAGGATGTATCCTATTTTCTGCCGTTAGACTTTCAGACAGTTACATTTTAAAGCAGCTGTGCTTAAGACATTATTCCCTTTGGAGCCACCATCAGGGAAGCTGTGTCCTTCTTCTTCCTTCCACCTTCTTCCTTGCTTTCTCTTGCCCAGAACCCATCTAAACTGCTTGACTGTTCACCTCACTTGGATGAAATAGGAGTCACCAACTCTATTTCTTCTGGTAAGACAGAAGACCATCAGCCCTTACTATCTGTTCCCTGACTGCATCTGATGCCTCAATGAAAACTAAGAATGCCTGAATCTTGCCACTTGCCCAGTTGGACTTTTCCATCTGCCTTATAGTTGACCTTCCTTTTATATGTTGTCTCTCCCCAATTAGAATGTGGATTCCTTGAGAACAGAGGAGGTTTCAATTTCCCTATTTATATACCCAGTGCTTGGCTGGGTAGAAGCTTTTCTCCATTTTTCATTTATTTTTCTTATACAAATGTCTCTTCTATGAGTGGAGAAATCCAAGTAGAAATCAAAAGTGTAGTCCTGCCCTATTTTTCTTTTTGGGGAAATTGATGAGTCCAATTTCTATTTTTCCCTATTTGTTATTTTTATCTTCTTCTTCTTTTCCTATCCTTTCTAAGTGTTTTCCATAATGTTAATTTCATCTTTGCTCCACATATAAGACAAAGACATATTGCTAAATAAAAAGCAAATTCTGTATAGCATGTGTGATTTATACTTCCACTATACAATCAAGGGTAAGCTGTTAAGTGCAGGTTAAGCAAAGGGGAATGACTGCTTTGTATCTAGCAGCTCATATAACAAACCTAAACTTATATCTTACATCTACAAGGCATAGAGGTAGCATTGCATAGTGGATAGAGAGCAGGCCTCAGAGCCAAAAAGACTTGGGTTCTAGTCCTTCCTCTGACACATACTATGTCTGTGAATGTGGGCAAGTCACAACCTTAGTGATCCGGTCAACTTTTTTGTTTTACAATTAACAAGCTGTTTTCTCCTTCCTCCTTCGTACCCCACCTCTCATCATCTTGGACCGCCCTTCTCCCCTACCCCCTCCAATCCTGGTAACAAATATAGTCAAACAAAACAAATTGCTATATTGGCCATACACAAAAATGTCTTTTTCTGCCAGGAGGTGAACAGCATTCTTCCCTAGTGGATTGATCACTGCACTATGGTTGATCATTTCATTAACCAAAGTTGTCTTTCCAAACTGTTTATTTCTAAAATGTTGTTAGAGTATAAATTGTTCCCTTGCTTTTATTCACTGTACTCTTCCTTAGTGTTCATACAAGTGTTTCCAGTTTTCTCTAAAACGAACCCTTTATTCAACTTTTTGGCTCAGGCAGTTTTCTGAGGTGAAGAGAGTTTCCATGCCTGAGTACCCTACACAAATGCCATCACAGGTCTGGACCAAAATTAGAGTTTACAGGGCCAAGGCATATCTCCTTACATTTGAGTAAAGTGCTGTGCTTTTATACTCATGTGTAATCTGTTTCCTAAGTTTCTAGGTAAATTTAAAAAATCTATTAAGTCAGCTATTAAAAGCTAGAAGAATATATAGCACCTGTCATCTTTGTTTATGTTGCAGATGGTTTTAAAAATGCATTGAATTCCCTCCTCTCCAGTGTATTTTTATATATTCTGATAGCTTCATCCATGGAAACAAAGCATCCCAAATTGTCTATTGTGCTGATACCCCAATCCAGGTGGCAGCACATCCTTGCAGAGACTCAGTTGGCCTGAATGTCTCAAAGTGAGATGGCATTAAAATCTGGTTTGTTTTTTGGTTTGTTTTTTACCTTCTGCAAAATATTCAGCAGCAGCTCAGAATCCAATGAATTCTTTAATTTTTCTTCAAGGCTCTATTCATAGGAGAGTAAAAACACATGAAGAAAAACATCAAGGACATTTTCAGAGGAACATTAAACCTGTAAATGGTACATTTTGCTAAAGAATGTTATGATTCACTAGAGACCCCAGGCCAAGAAGAAGTGGAAGCCATAGTCAGAAAGCATGACCTTGATATGTTAGATGTTATCTACGAAGAAAAGGAGAGGAAACAAAGAAGACAACCCCAAATCATTGGTTTTCATACAGCCCATTCAGAATCAGAATTTTAGAGCCAGAAGAAGAGATATTAGTGGTCATAGAGTTCAATTTCCTTATTTTAAAGGTGAGGAAGACCGGCTCTTCATATCAATTCATATTAATAAAATGTTAGCTTAGGCACAACCAAAGAAAGTTATTTTCAATTGACCTGTTTATGTCCTGGATAAGAAATCTTTATAAACACAAGAACACCAAGTGCTTCTATATTCACCAGATTTCTGACTCCTCTCACAGGTTACTCCAGTATAGAGAGGATGTACCTTGGCAATATCTTACAGCTGGACCAGGGCAATAACAATTTGCATGTTATTTTCTGAATGATTAATGTTCATAATATTGTTTATCATGATACTGAAGTTACTGAAATAACATAAATATCTACACTAGGCAATGAAATACTTCACAAGATATAAACCAACCTGTACTATTCAGAATGTATAGCCACATCAAAGTAATTATAAAACATTTTAAATCATAATTATAATATTGGTGGAATGAAAATTTGCTGCCAGAACAGTATTAAAGGTGCTAAGTTCTTATGTCAGGGTCCTCTATCCTAATTTCCACCACTTTCCATCCTTTGTTTGGGGGGTATCATTTTGCCTTATGTGGGAAGGCTATTTTACGTCTTTCCCACTCCCTGACACATCTCAGTAGTTTTGAAAATCTTAGGATGGGAGAAGTAGTAATATACTTCATTCTCAATGAGGGGTGTAACTGTTCATAAAGTCTTGCTCATGACTTCTGAAAATTAGATTATTATAATAATAGCTAACGTTTTCAGGTTTGTGAAGTGCTTTACACTTGTTATTTTGTCCACAGGACAATGCTAGGAGGTGCTATTAATTATCTCCATTTTAAAGTTGAGGAAACCAAGGCAGACAGAGGTTAAGTGACTTGCCCAATGTAGACAGCTATTATCTAAGAAAGAATTTGAACTTAGGTCTTGTGACTCCAGATCAAGTAGGGGATCCTTGGGAGGGCAAGGTGAATTGTTTATCATTGTATAAGTGTGCTAAACTATTCTTTTCGGCATTCATTCACTCAACAAGGTTTTAATAAGGACCTACTATGTTCCTTCAGAGTCAGGTAGTTCATCTTCACTTACTAGCTGGTGTGACCTTGGGCAAGTCACTTAACCTGTGCTTGTCTTAATCCACTGGAGAAGGAAACTGCAAAGCACTCCAGGATCTCGGCCGAGAAAACCCACGGACAGTACGGTCCACAGGGTCCCAGACACGACTGAATAACAACGTGCCTTCTGAGATTTCCTCTCGTTTACACTGTCTCTACCTGGCAGGCGCACAGCTGTTTGTACGGAATGTGCGCTCCTGGAAGCAGGGAAGTGTTTTCGTCTCTTTTTGTATCGCCAGCACTTGGCCCTGAGCGCCTGGCACGTCGGAAGCGCTACAAAGACTGCTACAAGTGTCAATGGGCAGCACCGGAAAGGGCGCGTGGAGGAGGCCGGCCAAGAGGCCCGGGGGCCCTGGATTGGCTTCCAGCCCTTTCTCCCGTGCCGTGTTGTGCCTGAGCCCGCAGCACCACGACCTTCCCTCCCTGCATACCGCATCGCCGGCCCCAGTCCTATGCCCGGCCCGCGATCCGACACAAGCCGCCCCCAACCCCACGTGGGTCCTTGCCCCCTACTTCTGCCCGACCAGGGGACTGCTGGACGCCCAGGGCCCGCGGGCTTTCCCCCGCCCCCCGCGCTCCCTCACCCGCCAGGGGAAGGATGGCAGAGGCCGAGCCGCCAGGAAGCGGCGCTCGAAACCCTCGATCAAGCCCGCCGAGGCCATGCTCTCTTCCGCCGCCACGGTGCTGGAGGCAGCTGCGCAATGCGGGGCTGCGGAGACCAGGGCGGGGTTAGGGAGGGTCTAAACAATGCTGGGCACGGTGGTTGGCTTTGGAGGCAGGGTCTGGGCGCCCACACTGTCTATGAAGTAGGCTTGGGGGAGGGCATTTGCTTTAGAGGCGGGGCCTATAATGAGGACGTTCGGGTTGGAGGCGGGGCTTGTAGGGCGGACATTTTCCTTGTAGGTGGGGACTGTGTTAGAGCCAGGCTTGGGGGCGGGCCTTTGATTTAGAGGCGGGGCCTGTGATAGGTGATTTGGTTTGGAGGCGGGGCCTAGAAGAAGTACTTCCTTAGAGGCGGGGCTTGGGGTTATGTGTCTTCGGAAGAAGAGGTCAGGGGGAGGTATTGACCTTGGGGGCGGGGTCTGAGAGGTGGGCGTTCGAGACAGCGACGGGGGAGGAGGTCCTCCCCCTTCCCCTCCCGGGACAGTTTTGTCTTGGAGGAGGAGCCTGGGAGCGGATCTTTGCCTTTGGAGGAGGGGCCGTAGGGACGGTGCTTGGGGGAGGAATTTGGAGGCGGGACTTGTGGTTGGCACTTTCGTGGGAAGCTTTGGCTGGAGGTGGGTATTTTCCTTTGAGGCGGAGCCTATGACTGGATTTGTGAGACGGGAAGGGGCAGGGCATTAGCTTGGGAGGCAGGGACTGTGGGGCAGGCACTCTCTTTGAGGCAGGGACTGTGGTAGAATATTTGTTTTGGAGGCGGGGCCTATGAGAGGTTTTTGTTTGTTTTGGAGGCGGGGCCTGTGGGCGGACTTTGGTTTTGGAGGCAAGGCTGAGGGGAGGTGCGTACGGAGGGGCGGGCACTTGCTTTGGAGGCGGGGCCTGTGGTAAGGTATTTGGCTTGGAGGCGGGGCCTGGGATAGGTATTTGCATTTGAGGCAGGGCATTTGAGGAGCAGCTTTTGCTTTAGAGGCGGAGCCTGTTATTGGGTATCTGGCTTGGAGGCGGGCTCTAGGGGCAGATTTTTTTTTCACTAGAGGCGTGATGTACTGTAGTGAAGGAGGTGACAGGCTTGTGGATAAACGGGGATCCTAGAGACCAACCTAAGGGAGGCTAGAGAGAAGCCCAGGAAATGTGCTCTGGGAACGAGTCCTGGAAGGGGTTCCAGGCTCTGGAGGAGCTCCATGTCAAAATGTGAGGCTCTAGAGGAAGGTCCTGGACAAAGGCAAGAAGTCTTGGAAAAGTCGGAGGTGGGAGGAAGCTACACAAAGAATAACACAATTATTGGGTGGAATAAAAGATCAAGAATCTCAAGGGAAACGATGTAAAAAGTGAGGATAAATACCATATTATAACTGGACAGCTAGATGGTGCAGTGGATGGAGTGCCAGGCCTGGAATCAGGAAAACTCATTTTCCTGAGTTCAAATCTGGCCGCAGACATTTACTAGCTGTGTGACTCTGGGCAGGTCACTTTACCTCATTTGCTTCAGTTTCCTCATTTGTAAAATGAGCTGGAGAAGGAAATGGCAAACCACCGCAGTATCTTTGCCAAGAAAACCCCAAATGGGATCACAAAGAGGTGGACACAACTGAGAAATGGACTGAACAGCAAAGTCATCAAAGCTAGTTGGTACTGGTTAAGTAATTGAAACATTAATTGATAGAACACAGTAAATAAGCAAACCCCAGAAATAATATATTGTCATAGCACTTTTGTGGTAGCAAGGAGATTGGAGTGGAATGGGTTCCCATTTATTGGGGAAGGGGCTGAATATAGTGGAATGTGATTTCTTGATAGAAAATGACATACATGAAAAATTCAGAGAAGCATTGCATGACATGTGAACTGAAGCAGAGCAAAATAAGCAGAACAAAGAGAAGTTGCACAATAACTGCAATAATATTGAAAGGCATCAGAAATCTGAGCAATGCAGTGACTTTCAGAGGCCTGATAATGAAGCAAGAAAAGGAGTAGCCATAGGTCAGGATGAGGTCCATCATTGTCAAACATGGCCAATGTTGGTTTTACCCAATTTTACTTGAGAAGCAGCAAGGCATAATGAATAGAGTACTGGGCTTGATATGAGGGAAATCTGGATTCCTGTATTTGACACTACCTGTGTGACCCAGGGCAAGTCACATAATCTCTCTGTAAATCTCAGTAAATTGAGGTTTACTCATTTATAAAATGGATTTGATAATTATAGTTTCTCTGTCATAGGATTTTTGTGAGGGTCAGCTGAGATGCCATGCAAAGCACTTTGCAAAAAAGGCGATAATTCGAATAGGAGCTATTATTAATGCTTTTGGTTTCAAGAGTAAGTTCTATTAGTTATTGAGAATTTTTTTTTGAAAAAGATCAAAACATTTATTTTGTAAAAAGAAAAAAAGGTTAATGTGCTGGTAGAAGATTGATGAGGGATCAGCTGAAGATATATAACACTCAGATAAGAAATTTTACTTAGAAAAATTGTTAAGGGGATTAACTGAGGTGCAATTGTTTTTCTTATGGTGCTTATGTTTGAAGCTACACCTTTCAGCAAAATCACTTTTTATTTCTTTGACATTGTTGCTTTAAGTAAAGGTTTTGAACTGGTGTTATCTAATACACCTACACTGTTAAGATTCAGAGCACATACGTACATTTTATTTTATAACCTCTATTTATAACAAAATACCCAATATCCTTCAATAAATGTATTAAGTAGAATAGTGAGGATTTGACTGGATCTCAATTCAGAAATACACATTTTGAAGTACTGGGTTTAGAACTGTCAGAGGTAAATCTTTGTTGCTTTCTTGCTTTTCACTTCTTTGCCTGTGGAGGAAAGTAAAAGGGTCAGATTAGTTAAACTTTCAATATATGATTTCATTTCTATGTGTTTATTGAAATTTACTGAGGTCCACAGTACTTGATGTGTCAATTAAGCATATTTAAGTGCCTACTATCTGCCAGGCACTTGGCCAAGTGATAGGATACAAAGACAAAAAAGAAACAGTTTCTGCCCTCAGGGAACTTATTTTTTTATTAGGAAAGATTTTCTCTCTCTCTCTCTCTCTCTCTCTCTCTCTCTCTCTCTCTCTCTCTCTCTCTCTCTCTCTCTCTCTCTCTCTCCCTCCCTCCCCCTCTCCTCTCCCCACCATTTAAATATATATATAAAACATATGTAAAAGGAATCAAAGGAGCTCAGCAGGTGCCTTGGCCATGGTGCTATCATCCTTCCAGTCACCTGGGTGTCATGGTGGACTTCTTACTCTTGTTTAGCCCCGTGTCCCATCAATGACAAATCTTGTGGGTTCTACCTTTATAATGTCTTTTGTATACACTTCCTTTTCTTCTGCAACCAGGTTCAGGCACCTCAAGTCTAGGTTATTGTAATAGCCTTCTCATTTGTCTTCCTACCTCAAGTCTTTTCCCACTCCAATTTATTCTCCACTCAGCTGTCAAAATGGTCTTTCTAAAATGCAAGTCTTACTATGTTACTTCCTATTCATTAATCTCCATTGGCTCCCTATTACCTCCAAGATCAAATATAACCTGCTCTGTTTGGTATTCAAAGCCTTTTATAACTTGGCTCCTTCCTGCTTTTCTAGTTTTCTTAAACCTAACTCACCTCCATTGTACCCTTCAATCCTGTGCCACTGGCCTATTTGCTGTTCTTTGCACAAGATACGTCACCTCCCAACTCTGTGCATTTTCGCTGGCTGTCCTCCACTTCTGTAATACTCTCGCTCCTTGATTATATCTCCTGGTTTCCCTGGCTTTTTTCAAGTTCCAGCTAAAATCTCACCTTCTTCAAGAAGCCTCTCCCAGTCCCCTTTAGTTCATTAGCTCTTGAGATTAGGTCCAGTTTATCCTATGTATAGTTTGTTTTTACCTAGTTGTTTGCATGTTTGCATTAGACTGCGAACTTCTTGAGAGCAGAGATTATTAATATTATATTATTATTATTATTATTGCCTTTCTTTGTATCCCCAGTGCTCAGCACAGTGCCTAACATATCGTAGGTGCTTAATAAATTCTTGTTGACTGGCTTCTCCCTGTGGGCCACATGCGCTTCAGCACTCTAACCACTACTGTACATATTAAACAAATGCAAGGGGATTTGTGGGGGGGGGCATGGAGTCACTAGCTGCTGGAGGGATCAGGAAAGACCTCATATAGAGGAGATGGAATTTGCGCTGGAATTTGAAGGAGGTTAGGCATTCTAAGAGGCAGAGGTGAGGCAGTGTTTCCCAGGCTTGTGTGAGGAACAGCAAGAAGTCCAGTTTGGCTGGACCAAAAGGTTCTTGAAGGGGAGAAATGTATAATGACTGGAAAGGTATGTTAGAGACAGATTGTGAAAGGCTTTAAATGCCAAACAAAGAAGTTTGTATGTGACCCTAGGGAGCCTATCACTGGAGCCTCCTAGTTGTTAGTGCATTTTTCCTCCTCAAATTATCTTGAAGTAATTTATTTGTGTGCATGTAGAGTATATAGTAACATGTATATGCCTTGGTAGTAGGATATAAATGCCTTAAAGGCATGGGCTGTCTCATTATTGTCTTGTATCTCTAGTACTTAGCTTGAAGTCTTGCACTTTTGGAAGGAGGAAAGTAGAGGGATCTGGATCTGTGATTTCATTAGTGTGTAGAATTCTTGGTATGGAAACTCCATTCCGTGAATACAGAGCAGTAACCTTACTGGAACTTGTGGTTTTAGAGAATTAGTGGGGACACTGAGACGTTAAGTGATTTGCCTATGATCTCACAGCCTGTATCATGAGGCCTTTCTGACAAGTCCTCTGTCCTCTGTCCTCAACATATACCACACTGCCTCTGATTTTATGCATGAAATAGCATGTTATAAGTAACATGCAACAAATGTTGAATTGAATTTGGTGGCGAAAGAACTGCATTAGGCATGTGTGATTGCTATATAAAGGCAGTTTTGATTTGGTTACAGTGCATCACAGGCCCTCTAGCCTCTCTTAGCTGTGGAGACTTGGAGATTGGGACTGAGGACATTCTTTTGTGGGTTCTAGTCTTGACGTGCAGACAAAGATCTCAGTTCATATATGCTAACTTAGACTGAACTCTGTGTGCTGAGTCAGGGAAGAGCTTGCTGTGTACTTAAGTGATAGCTTCTAAAGGACCCTCACAGGTCCAGTAGGTTTAGGTCTAAATAAAAGTTTGAACCAGCAGTTTACCTCCAACTTCCCAAATCCAAGGTAGTATTTATATAGAAGACATCATTGTACCATATCTGGTAAGAAACGTATACGTACTGCACTCAGGATTTGCCGTTAGTATTCAAGGCTTTATTTCATTAAAAATTCAATGTAAGTTAACATTACGAAATGACTGCTTTTTTCAAAATTATGCTGTAGGCATAGGAGGTTGAATCAGTAAATTGAACTTTTCCTTTATCTCTCCTTTGGCTAATGGTTTCTATGGAAGATGACTGATTGATTTCTTTCTCAAATGTTGCTTTAGGGTTTAGAGACCTTATAGGTCATGTTTCAGCTTATAGCAAATTTTTATAGTTCAAATATAAATTACTTTAAATGTGGATTTTGAAGTGGAGTTTAAGGTTAAGTAAAATTCCAACTTTTTAGACAATTTATAGCCACTCAGGCAGTAGTGGTGCAGTAGGGATGAAGGCTGCTTAAAATGGGATGTAGTAACACACACACCTATAACTTCTAGGATGTGAGGTAAATTGATGTTTAATACATGCTTGTTGATTAATAGAGTTAAATATTGGTTTAGTTGTTGGAAATAGCATTTCACCATACATGTTATCAAAGTATTCTTCCCCATCAGTAGCCATAGGAATGTAAATCTAGGAATCATAGGAATCATAGGAAATTATAGGAAATCATAGAAAATAAATAATATCATATCAGAGGCCATTAAGTCCAACAATTTCATTTTATGAATGAGGAACCTATAGCCCAAGGAGGTTAAGTGATTTTTTTTTTTTTGGTGAGGCAGTTGGGGTTAAATGACTTGCCCAGAGTCACACAGCTAGTTAAGTGTTATGTGTCTGAGGCCTGATTTGAACTTGGGTCCTCCTGACTCTAGGGCCAGTGCTCCATCCACTGTACCACCTAGCTGCCCCTGAGGTTAAGTGATTTGGTAAGATCACATAGGTAGTAAACATCATTGACAAGATCTGAACCCAGGTCCTCTGAGAAGAGGACCATTGTATTTCCACCATACCAAAATATGTCTCCCTTGAATAAAATTGTTGAATTGACAGTGTTTGTTGATGAATCACGAGCAATACGAAGTCTACTTACCCCTTTTCTCGACTAACAGCCGTGTAACCTACACCAGAGACAAACAAGATGGCAAGCACTCCTGTAGCAACACCTAAGCCAATAGCAGCTTTCTGCAAAGCAGTTCTCCTCCAAGTCTCATCTCCTGTTACCAAATTTGAAAAGGTTTTTTTTTTTTAGTTAGTTTGTGAAATATTTGTTCCTCTTTTTCAGGGCCCCAGGAAAGTCATATCCAGTCATTATTTAATATTAATTATCGAAAAGAATTCTACCCCAAATCTAAGCAAAATCTGCTCTGTAAGAAATGGATACTGGAAAATTGCCCCTTCTGTTCCTTATTATGTGCAGCACACTATGGTAGGATCTTTATAGGGCTTGTTTCTTAAATTGGAAAAAAGTAACTATCCTACTGTGTAAAATAACCTGGTAGTGTCTATTCAAGGGACATATTGCTCATCTAGGAAGAATAATACATGATTCTTTTAAATCACCCTTAGATATCTGCCCAGAAGTCAGGCTAAGTACCCTAGAGTTAGGGATGTCCAGAGCTCTGTTTTTCAGCAATGAGTGAAATTACGAAGCTTCTTATTCCACTTCAAAGAACCACTCTTTAATCATGGTAAGCAACCGCTAAACTTTTGGACACATGAATTTGTCAGGAGGCAGATGGAGTTTTTAGAAGAGAAATCATGGAGTAGTCTACCTTTCTCCATTACTCCCCGGGTAACTCAGGGGCATAGACGAGGATTATTCCCTGGCTTCTTGTTTTAAAGATGTCTCCTACAAAAGTGACTGTCTGGAGCTCTAATGGAACCTGGAGGGATTATGAGCTTAATGAATGTTGAAGAATCTCTGTCATCCTGCAGAAGCATTAGGTAATACAATTGTGCTTTACTTTTTTTTCCTTCAAGTAGATTCTCTGCAGATTCACTCTGCTGCTGGTTTTACATCTCACCTGATTCCTGATTGAAAGTGTCCACAAGCATGCCCTGTGTAACTGTCAGAGATCCGTTGTGAGGTTCTGGTGTCACTCTCAGGAGTTTACACATCAGTGGGTAAATGTGAATGCTGTCAAAAGGCTCTGCCAGATGATTCTTCTTGAAATCTGGTCCAAATGCTCTGAATATCGTTTTCATGTCCATGTCTGCATTATCATAGCCATGATCCCCTTTGTTGATATATAGTATGAACCGCTAGGAAAGAGTCAGTAGAGGTTACAATTCTATGAAATAAAAGTATGTTATTGTTAATCTATGGTATTTGTGTAATACCTTACAACTTTTGAGAGTCATAAGGTCTCTACAAATGTTAGCTACAAATTTCCCCCTTTCTGGGACAGAGAGATATCCAAAAAAAAGATTCTTCTTTTGGGATTCAGAAACAAAAATTTCTCTAATTTTGGGATAGAGAGCAAAGAGTACATGTTTATTTGAAAAAGCTAGAGGGGATTAGGGGAATAAAATATGCTTCCTGTGATATGAAGGCCAAGAATCACTGCTTAGGACAGTCATGGCTGCTGATTGTTTCAGCTTTACCCTGTTTCTTTTCACACACATCAGCAAGCAATCCAAATCATAATTTTCCAATAGCACTGAAACACTGACTGTTCATCTCTTATCAGAATTAATAAATTTTTCACTGTCTAGAAAATACAATGCCCTGCACATTGTAACAATCTGGTTTGATGAATACAGACAGGCTAGACCTATGCAATCTGAACCATAGGTTATTTGCTAGCTACTTTTTAGGCAACTGCTCTGTAAAAGGTGTGGTGCTACAAAGACAAAACAAAAAGCAGTCCCATTATGATAACAGTTCAAACAGTCAACCAGTGTCTAGGGATAGTCTTGATAATTCAAAGAAGGCCAAAAATCTACTTTAATTTGTCTTGCTTTGTGACAGTAATCTGTTTGTGTTACAGAGCTGTATCTTTGCTACTCTAACCTATGAACTTTTCCTATCCTGTAGTTCCTAGTTTATTGATTTCTCCTTGCAATGTATTCTCCGTGGAAATTGCTTTGTATATATTTTGAATTAATTTTATTTGTACATGATGTTCCAGTGTGGACCTTTCCCACCTTCCAATGGAATTCAGATTCCTTGAGGGAAGGGACTATTATGATTTTTGTCTTTTTATTACCCAGTGTTTACCATTGTGTCTGGCACACAGTAAGCATTTAATAAATGCTTGTTATTGTTGTTAAAAGAACTTGGGTCTTTGTGGTGAAATGTCTCAGTATAAAACACAAAAAAGTTGATTCTTTTGAAAAGCTCTTGAAGGAGAAGGTATTCTTTGCAAAGATTTTCTCTATTGCTAAAGGAATTTTAAAGACTACTTCCTATGAAACAAGAATGATTTCTGGATTGTACTTGAAAGCTTTGACTATCCAAGATCCTACTAACTTAAACTATCAATGAACTGGAATTTTAAAATGTGTTTCACTATTTAGAAAAAGAAACAAATCACAATAAAATAAATTAGTGTTGAAGATTTAATTGGCTTCAATCTAATCTCTTAACTTTTATATCTATGGTCCATTACATGAAAATGGTTGTTTTTGATTGTCCTGAGGCAATGGGGGATCCCTAGTTCTCAAGAAAGGACAAAACTATTTATCCTATATAAGGAAATCAACATATATTTTAGATACTTTTTTTAATCAAGAAGGGGTGAAGAGAAAGAGCTTTCAGCCCAATCTTTAGCTCACTAGAAAATTACATTAATCAGAATACTGTATTTTATCAAGTATTTTGGTCAATCACGTTTACCATGTGGCACAGTGGAAAGAACATTAGATTTGGAGTCAGAACATTGAGGTTCATATCCTAGCTCTGCTATTTGCTTTCTATGGTACCTTTGGTAAAACTCTTGGGTAATACTTCTTCAGGTCTCAGTTTCTTTATTTGTAAAATTAGACTAGATGGTCTTTAATGTTCCTTCCACCTCTAAACCTATCATTCTATAACTTAGAAACCATTTGCCGTATCCCTCTATGATTACAGTGAACAGTGGACGACACCATTCCTCTCCTGATTATTTAGAAATGTAATTAACTATAAACCGACTGAAATGACTGAACAACAATAACTAAACTGACCGAGTGACTGCTAAGCATCATGGCTTCCCAAACCCAGCACATCATCAAGGATAATATTAAAATGACTACAACTTATGGAATTCAAAAGCGTCTTCTAGAACGTGTCATTGAACACACTGGGCACATTTCCACCAGCACCACCAGGCAACAGCTTTACTATTTGCCCTCTCAATCCTAGCAACAGTTGGTTGTCATACATGTGTATGGCATTGCTAGGCCACAAAAACAGTTGCAATATTAGCTTTACATCTAGATGAGTGGGCAAAAGTTCTCTGGGTTATCTGTGAACTAATCCTTTGTAACACAAGGGAGAGTCAGTGAGGGAGGTACATTTAAGCTCATTTTTGAAATACTTTATTTCAGAAACATGGTAAATATGACAACTATTTTGCAAGGGCAGCCGGGTGGCTGGGCAGTGCATAGATAGAACACTTGACTTGGATTAGGAAGACCAATGTTTTAGTCCTACCTCAGAAACTTACTAGCTGCGTGGCCCTGGGCAAGTCATAGAACCTTTTGGCCTCAATTTCCTTATCTGTAAAATGAGAAAAATCAGAACACCTCTGCCTCAAGGTTTTTGTGAGGCTCAAATGAGATACTATTATTAAATGCTTTGCAAACCATAGAGAACTCTATAAATATGAGCTGTTACTACCAAGGATCACGGCTTTTAGAATCATAGATATAGGGACAGGAAGGGATCCTAGAGAGCGCTGAGCCCAACCCCTTCATGTTACTGATGAGGAAAGTGAGATCCAGGGAATCATATTTAGGCATAGTCATTATGCATGCGTGCACACACACACATAATGATACACATTAGCAACAGATTTAGACTTCATATTTTTGTTTTAACATAGCTCTATTCATACTTTTGATTCTGGCATTAATTAGCGTGAGAGGCAGTGTGGTATATTGGATAAAGGGCCAGTCTTGGCATCAGGAAGATCTGAATCCAAGCCCTTGCCTCTGACATGTATGGACTGGGTGACCATCACTCAGTCAATAATAATTTAGTAAGTGCCTACTGTGTGCCAGGTACTGTGACACTGGGTACAATGATGAAATGATTTCTGCCCATAAGGAGTTTATATTTTCTCTAGGGAAATTACCTCTATCTATCTATCTATCTTGTTGGCAAATAATATGATTATAGATTCTGAGCTGGAAATAACTTGAAAACCACATCCAGTGCCCTATCCAATGTGCCATCCTGACATGAAGGAACTGAGGCCCAGGGAACTTGCCCAGGGGTCATATAGGTAGTCAGTATCTGAGGCAGGACTAGAACACAAGTCCTGTGACTTTATACTCAGGCAACTCCAGTATTCCAGGTAATTCTTTAAGACTGTACATTACAAATTAGTTGCTATTGCATCAGTGGAGGGAATTTCCACACTGGGATTTCTATATATAGAAGAAATTGTAGTTCTGGGACCATGAATTTCTATTTAGTCAATGTTTAGTAAAAAACAGACTTCACTAAGCATATTCATGTCTCATTAAAAACACCAGTATTTGGTGATAATTTTTCTCCCACTTGTTAGTGTAAGCTAGAGAGGACAATGATCTTTTGATTTCTTGAAGGGGCCTATGAACCAAAAAATTCAATTCAATTCAATTGAGTTCAGTTCAACAAATATTTATTAAGTGCCTCCTACATACAGGACACCCTGCTAGATGCTGAGGGCTTATAATAACTTCAGAATCATAGGTCTAGAGATAATCTGCTTTTGGAGAGTGGGTGGGAGGGAGTGAAGAGGGTGGCTGTGTTTTATTAATCAAGGGTAGGAATGCTCATGGGGCAGCTAGGTGGCACAATAGATAGAGCTCTGGCCTTGGAATCAGGAGGACCTGAGTTCAAATCTGGCCTCAGACACTTACTAGTTATGTGACCCTGAGTAAGTCACTTAATCGCAACTGCCTCACCAAAAAGCAAAAAAAAAAAAAAAAAAGAGAGAGAGAGAGTGTGAGCTCACTTCATGATTGAGCAGAAAGGCACATCATTGAGTTTCCTGAATTCTTGTGCAAAACTGAAAATGGGACATAGATTCCTTTAAGCTAGTTGCATGAATTTCAGGGTCCTCAAGCCAAAATTTCATAAAAAGACTCTTGTCAATTGCTAATCAAAAACCTATCTTGAGGGGGCCCTATCTTTTGTCTGAAGCTTGATGTTCCCCAGGTTCTGTCCCTGGGCCTCTTTTAGTCTATTTTCTCCCTTCGCAATGTGATTAATTCATATGACTTCAACACCAGCATCTATGCAGATCCCCAAACCTGTATCTCTAACCCTTACCTCTTCTCTGTTGAGTTCTAGGCTCATATCTCCAGCTGCCTATGGGACATCTCCATGTGGATATTCCTTTCACTATACCACATTGTCTCCTCACTATACCAGGCTGCTCTCCCCATTACAATTTTTTTTTTTTTACATCAGGGACTCATTCTTAGTCATTTGTGCCTAACATATAGTAGCTCTTTAATAATTTTTTTAAAATTGAGTTCAATTTACCCCCAAACCCACATATTTTAGAACAAACTTACCCCATTAATGTTGTAGCCAGGATCACCATAAACCAAGATGGGTAGAATACGATGGTGTTTGGCAAAATGGAAATGCTCTGGAAACTCTTCTTTCTTATATACCTTTAAGTGAGGATGTGCATTTTTTAATGCATTGTAAATATCTCCCTCTTTCCCTGGCTTGGGAAGAATCATACCAAAACCACCATAGTCCAGTATATCAAATTTCACCAAATCTCTGAATTTAATGTAGTTTTTCAGTAAGATCTCTGTAACATTAGGCTGCTTCTTCACTGTGGTCATTCCATGATCTGATGTAATGATGACATTGAGGTTGTCCTTCAAGCCATTTTTTTCAATGGCTTTTACTAGATAACCAATAGTCCTATCAATTTGCTGGATTATGATTCTTCTGTTTTCTGTCTCAGGGCCTATCATATGCCCAACATTGTCAGGTTCTCCATAGTAAAGGGTTACAAAATCAAAATTCTCTTTGGTGAACCAGTTCATGACAATGTCAATATTTTCCCTCCATTCAGTCTCATTGTCATTAGGGTGGGTAGAGGACTCCAAAAGAGACCTCTGCGCAGCCTCCCCACTGTAGTTTGCACCTCCCCCTGGAAAGTGGAATGAAGCAGTTTTCCTTCCCTATAAATAAGAGGAGATGATTTTTAACATGATTTGACATGAACATTTTTTATGTCATATTCAAAAGAAGCAAACGGTAAGCAATTGGTCCTTTACTATAAACTTGCTTAATATGCAAGCATGTCCTTAGCCCAAAACAAACTTGGACATCATTAGGAACATTGCTTGAAATGATGTCTATAGCTGTACACACAGACAAGTTATAGATGGAATATGACTTTATAGACCTTCTATTCTTTAACCTTCCCTAGGCTATTTACGGTACACACATTGCAAGAGTTTGGTTGGTCTTCTGCCTGACTAAGCCATGAAAGCTCACTTTATTGAAGTGCTCCTTAGATTTCACAAAGTTCTTATGTGGGAAAGGTCCTAATAGGTCATCTCATTACTCGTCTTGCTTCTAGGCAGAACTGCATCTGACCCATGCTAGACAAGAGCGGGCTCTGTCCTATTTTTAATAATACTGCTATTTCCTCCAGGCATTCATTCTTGTTTCTTGTATCATTGCCACAAAGATCTTTCTTATATTTAAGACCCTGAGCTTAGGTATCTATCTATGATTCTTCTGAATATGACCAGCCACTCTTCAAGAGCTCCAGTTCCTGTATCAGAATACTACATTGTACTAAACTCACTTAGGGTGTATGGTGTGGCTGTAGCTTCGGTATGGGGCTAAGCTGTAGCTTAGTGTGGCTATTTCTTTGGCTTTTTCGGTTAATAATAATAATGACAAATGTAGCTTCAGAATGATAGAACTATGAAAATGACCAAATCTAATCTAAGTGCCTGCATTAGCCATTAGAAGAGAACTACATCTGTTTTTGTAAACATGAGAGGAAGCTGTGGCAGAGAGAAGCTGCAGCCAGAGAGCTGGCTCAAGAGTCAAGTCAACAAGCAGTTATTAAGCACCTATTATGTGCCAGGCATTGTGCTAAGCACTGAGGATACAAAGGAAAAAAAAACTGTCTCTACTCTTAAGGAGCTCACAGTCCAATAGGGAAGACAGCATGCAAACAACTATGTTCAAAAAAGATATGGACAGGATAAATTGGAGGTGGGCTCAGAGGGAACGCATTGAGATTAAGAAGTGAGGAAGATTTCTTGCAGATGGTGGGATTTTTTCTGATACTTGAAGCCTGGGAAGCCAAAAGATGGAGAGTAGGAGGGAGAGAGTTCCAGTCATGAGTGATAGCCAGTGAAAATTGTGGAAGATGTCAGGATAATCTGGGTTTAAGTACTCCCCACTGGTTATTTGATCCTGGGTAAGTCACTTAATCTTTCAGTGTCCCAAATAAACCCTCTTAAGATACTTAAGTTACAGAGAAGGTCTTGATCCATATGGGTCGAAGGAGTTTCTTTCTCAGGGGCACCCTATGCTAATGAAATTTCCTATCTTGTCCAAAACAGAGATAATTAAACATTACTTGATTTTCAGTGATAAACAAAGGCATAGCACAAATTTCTTCCATGATATACCGATCATTCCAATACTGCACCTGAATGTAAATGATTTAAAGCAATCACTTCAACTCTTTTTTTTTGAGAGGGTCAGTTTTCTTTGGTTTTAGCTAGAATGTTAGTTTGAAGAGGCAGTGTGGTATAGTGGGAATGGATAAAGGGATGGCCTTGAAGTCAGGAAAATCTAGGTTGAAGTCCTGACTCTGATCTCTAGTAGCTGTGGGACAATAGGCAAGTCATGTAACCAACCCATCAATGCCCCTAGTAAATTCTCTAAGACTTGCAGTTAAAGATGAGTTGCTGATCTGTGCCAGTAGAGGATATTTCTATATCACAAGTACCTTACACTGATGATTTAAATCATAGGTCTGGTCATTCCCTCCTCCCCCTGAAAAAAATTAACTTGAAGGACAAAGGGTTTCTGCAACATTTTCTACATCACCTTGGAGTTGAAAGTGTTGAAAATACTCTCAAACCAAAAGCATGCATTGGACTGAGGGTGGGGTAGGTGTTCAGTGGAAGAAGGGAATAAGAATATTACCTTTGTATGGAAAATTGAGGGAACAGAGGGAATTGTGTATTAGAAGGAATTGGGTGCTTGAAAATTTGGTCAGTAAGTGAAAGTGGAAAAGTATACCTAGGGCTCAAAATCAAAACTTTTCTTGTTCTGAGGAAAGGAGAGGAAAGCAGCTTAGAAGCTATTTACGCCCATTGCCTTAGTTGTATTCATGGTTGAGTTGGTCTCCTGCCTACTGGCAAGAGATATCTTGCTTCCAAAACATCTCATTTTAATTTTAATCAAAATGATGACAGTGGTTACTTAAACTCTTATTTTTGGGCATTTGAATGCTTTAGTCTGTGTAACTTATACTGGTATCACAGAAACTGCTTCCTGATGTTAGAATTTATATGGTTGAGTTTCCAGAGCCATCTAATAGGAAGTTTTTTCATGCCAATTAGCAATAAGCGTAGAAGATTACAATTGTTAAAGTATAGTGTAATGTAATCTTTAACATAAATTTACTTTCCCTGGATGATGAAGACAATGACCATGACAATGACTGCTACTACTAGTACTTCTTTTTCTTCTTTTCTTCTTCTTCTTTTCCTCTTCCTCCTCCCCCTCTCCCCTATCTCCTTCCCTTTTTCCTCTTCCTCATTCTATTTCTCCTCCTCCTCCTCCTCTTCTCTTCCTCTTCCTTTTGTACTGCTATTTAAAATGTGTTGCTGATTTTTACTTCTAAGCTCCAGCATTCTCCCCTAATAGTCAAGTTATTCAGAACAAATATGCTAATAGGATTCCATATTGATTTTATACTTTGTTTACCTCTCCTTTTCAGGGGTCAGTGGCACTATTCAATGTCTGATTTATTTATTTATTTATTTTTTGCAAGGCCTAAGAACAGTTTGATAATGTAGACGTGAGGCTGAGAAGAGGTTAAATAACTTGCCCAGGATTACACAGCTAATAAGTGTCTGAAGCAGGATTTGAACTCAGGTCTCTCCTGACTCCAAGGCCAGTACTCTGTCCACTGCATCTAGCAGTCCCTCTTTCTGAACTGTTGGCTCCATTTCAGCCTTCTCAAATTGGATGGGTAGTGTTGAATCTAAAGGATTGATTCCAAATTTTTTTTTAAAAATAGAGGTCAGCTCATTATCTTTAGTGCCTTTATTATTCACAATAAGTAGAGGACTTTGGCCAACATAGAGATGCATTATATAGGCATTAACATTTTTCCAGGCTGAAGCTGTTGGCACCTTCTTGCTTCCTGCTTTCACTGAGTTAGGATGGGATTTTCTTGGAGATTTGGTTAGTGCTAGGAAATGAAAATCTGGCTGTCAGACTTCACACATGATTCAAATCCCCTCTTGGTAGTAACCTAATGCCATTCTATTACTGATACTTATCAGCTGTGATTCTATTACTTAGCTTATCCCTTTGACCTTTTCCCCTATTAACATTCCATATAAATCTTTTGGACACAGGCGAAACATTCCTTTATGTCTTTATGGTTTCTGAGTCTTATAGCCATGGCTGGATGAGTTTCTCTGAGGATCAGGAATTTAGAACTTTGTGAAATATCCCTGCCATTCATCACATTCTTTTCATTGTGCCTTCATTTAAAGTCTGGGCCTGCTCCAAATGAAATTCTCTCATTCTTTGTACCTGACCATTAGCAAGGTCTTGCCAGAGCATAGATTCACTTGTGTGCTGTGAATGATGGGATGTCCACTCCTAAAGGCAGTCGGGGGACTCAATCATTATTTAAACTTCAGCCACCAAAAGCCCATCAATTTCCATGAATCTTTATAGACTCCTGCAACATTAGTCTCATTGAGGGCAAATATTTCAGCCAAATTAAAGTTTACTGCATCAGTCCTATGAAATTCATCTGGAATAGACTGTGAAGGGATGGATTTCCTGAAGACAGAGAGGATGCAAGCTACCCTCAGTTCAGCCATGGAGGACACCTGCCTGACAATATGGACATGCTTTCAAAAGCCAAATTGGGACACGCAGTATTATTGTTCTTAGGAGATTGACCTATGGCCGTGAGTTCACACTACTTATGGCAAATTTTGCTTTCACTCCTGAGGGAACTGGCTGTCTGCCCTGGTTGTGTGGCAGAGTCCATAGACAGTTGAGCAAGATGCAATAATTTGACATTCACCTGCCAAATGAATAGCAAGTCATCAATTCATTCTTTTCCTACCAGATATTCTTTCTGCACAGCCACTTACAAATTCAGTAAAGAGGAAGAAAGTTCAGCATATGAGTGATGTGTAGAAGGAAAAAAAACCCCACTGGAACTCCTCAAATGACAATAAGACAAATATTATGAATAAGACAAATGACAGCAAAGGAATAATGCCAGAGTAAGAGAACGGAGAGGCCAAAGGATTGGAATTTGAATTAAGGAAAAATGTTCAAGTCCCACTTAGAAGTACAGAGGATTAAAGAATGCTAGAGCTGGAACATGCTATAAATCTTCTGTCCCATCAGCTCATTTTATATATAAGAAAATGGAGGCAGAAAGAGATGAAGGGTCTTACCTGAGGTCACATAGTTCTCTAGAGTGGTAGAGTCAAGAACAGAATCTGGTTCCTCTGATTTCCAATCTGTTTTTGATTCTACTTTAGTAGAATCTCCTATATACCCCCTTCTTTCCTCTGCTACTGCTACCACTCTGGGGCAGGACTTCATGCTTGGCCTTCTGGCTGGTCTCTCTGCCTCAAGACTCTCCCCACTCCATTCCATCTTTGATTCAGCTGTTAAACCTATCTTAAAGCTCAGGTCTGATGATGTCATTCCCGTATTTAGTAAAATCCAGTGGTTCCCTATTACCTCCTAGATCAAATTTAAATTCTTCTCTTTTACTTTTACCCTTCATAATCTGGACCCTTCCAACCTTTCCAGTCTTCATACGCTTTATTCCCCTCCATGTATGTACTCTCTGATCTAGGGACACTGACTTCCCTGCTATTCCTTGTACAAGACAATCGATCTTCCAGCTCTATGCTTTTTCACCAGCTGTCCCTCACTCCTGGAATTCTCTCCCTTCTCTCTGCCTCTTGGCTGCCCTGGCTTCCTTCAATTCCCAGTGAAACTCTTACTTTTGCAAGGCTTTCCCCTATCCTCCTTAATGCTAGTGACTTCCCTCTGAAATCATCCATGATTTATCCTGTATGTATCTTGTTTTTACATAGTTCTTTGTGTGTTGTCTCCCACTTCCCCATTAGACTGTGAGCTCCTTGAGGGCAGGGACTTTTTTTTTTTGCTTTTTTCTTTATCCTTAGAGCTTTGCACTATGCCTAGCACAAGTACACACTTAATAAATGCTTGTTGACTTGGTATTCTTTCTACTACACCATGAAGAAAGCCTGTCATGCCATATTTAAAACTTTGGGACTGTTGTTTTTAGATATAATTTAATTTATTTAAAGAGAATACTTGTTTCTCATTTTCTGTATTTTAAGTCCAGAAATAAAGGAAAAGGGTATAAGAGGAAGGAATCTAACAAGTAGGAATGGCATGAATATGAGGTGAGAGAGACTCATCTTTGGGACCTGAAACTCCCCTGAGAGTCTCTACAAATGTTGGTTGTCTGAGGTTAGTTCAGCAAACACCAAAGTGAAAAGCATCCTTTAGGATAAAAATTCGTGATGGTTTTTTGAAGGTCAGAGCTAAGGCATTAGATTGAAAGGACAGAACAAAAGGGAGTCTTCTTTACCAGTATCCCTTGAAGGATGGTGTATAGTCAAAATTCTGATCCTGTAACTGGTAGCAAAGTGAAAGATTTTAGATTTAGATTTAACCCCAGTAACTGGGGGTTAGTGATCAAGGAAAGCCTGCCCAGGTCTGATTTCTTCCTTTTTTAGGACACAGGTGAATAACTACTTGGATATCCTTAGGGTATTCTCATTCATGGGACAAGTCCTAGATTTTCCTCCTAAGATGGAAACAGTCTTTTAGCTTGAAAGCTAAGAACTTTTTTTTGTTTTGTTTCCCCCCCACACTTAATAGTATTTTATTTTTTCCAATTACATAAAAAGCTAGTTTTCAACATTCACTTTTATAAGATTTTGAGTTCCAAATTTTTTTCCCACCTTCCCCTTCCCTCTCCCCAAGAGAGCAAGCAATCTGATAGAGGTTATATATGTATAATCATATTAAATATATTTCACATTAGTCATGTTGTGAAAGAAGAATCAGAAGGAAAGGAAAAACCACAAAAAAAGAGAAAATAGTATGCTTCCATCTACATTCAGACACCATAGTTCTTTTTCTTGATATGGATAGCATTTTCCATCATGAGTCTTTTAGAATTGTCTTAGATTATTGTCTTACTGAGAAGAGCTAAGTGTATCAAAGTTGGACATCAAAGTTGCTGGTACTGTGTACTATGTTTTCCTGGTTCTGCTCACTTCACTCAGCATCAGTTCTTGTAAGTCTTTCCAGGTTTTTCTGAAATTTGCCTGCTTATCATTTCTTATAGGACAATAGAATTCTATTACATTCATATGCCACAACTTGTTTGGCCATTCCCTAACTGATGGGCATCCCCTCAATTTCCAATTCTTTACCACCACAGAAAGAGCTGCTATATTTTTGTATATGTGGGTCATTTCCCCTCTTTTATTATCTCTTTGGGATACAGACCTAGTAGTGGTATTGCTGGATCAAAGAGTATGCACATTTTGGTTGAACTTTGGGTATAGTTCCAGATTGCTCTCCAGAATGGTTAGATCAGTTCACAACTCCACCAACAATTCATTAATGTTCCAATTTTCTCACATCTTCTCCAACATTTATCATTTTCCTTTTTTGTCATATTAGCCAATTAGATAGGTGTGAGGGAGTACCTCAGAGTTGTTTTGATTTGCATTTCTCTAATCAATAGTGATTTAGAGCATTTTTTCATATGACTATAGATAGCTTTAATTTCTTCATCTGAAAACTACTTGTTCATATACTTTTACCGTTTATCAATTGGGGAATGACTTGTATTATCCTTCATTTTCTAAAAGGACCAGTGACATCATGAGAGTGATGTCTTGATTTGCTTGTGAATTGGATTTAAGTGGGGTAGAACTGCACAAAATCATCTTTGATGTCTGACCAAGCTCTAATTGCTCCTCAGTGCCTGCTTTAGCCTCCATCATGGCCATTGGAACACATTATTCTCATCTATCCATTTCACTAGGAGGGCTAGAGATGTCTATTCTATCTCCCTTTGAGCCACACACACAAGGACTACATCCTTGCTACACATGGATCCTCACTACACATATGGGACCCATATTCCACCTTCTTTCCTTACATATAATATGAGTATTATATAGAAATATATATTATATGTATTATAGGAAATATGTAATATATAAAATATATAGATATAATACATAAATATAATATATACACATGTATGTGTAATATGTATTATATATAAATATAATATATACACATGTGAGGCTAAGTGTATTTCACGTAAAGTCTACTAATCACATATATATACCCATACATGCACACATATGTATAGTATGTACACATACACGTACACACAAATAAATATATATTTCTCTGCCCTCCCTTTAGTCCCTTCCTCAGATTCTAAGAACTACAGTTAAAGCCCTTTGAGGTCGGAAACCACATATTATTCATATTTATAGTTCATTAGCTAGGGCAGTATCTTGTGCATAGTAGGCACTCAGTAAGTATTTGTTGATTTGCATAAGATAAATCAGTTTCAGAATACTCCAGTCATATTGAAGTCTAGCCTTTGGGGCTACTGAAAAAAGTGAGGTTAGTGATGTGAGGCAATGTTCACTAGGCTATTTCTCAAAACTGGAACTTATTCCTGGGATCATGGGTCAAAATGGAGTCAATCACAAGGGAACAGGGCCATGTGGTCACCATACTGTTAATGGATTGTTCTCACTTGGCTGCTCCCTCAACCAGTTCCCTTTTCTCTTAGCCATAGATGTAAGAGGTGTGGTCTCTGGCAGTTCTCTTAGAGACTTGGACAGTACCTGCCTCTGGGCCGTGATCCAGAGAGGCAGCACACCATTGTCCCACCACTCCGACTTCTTCTGTGTGTCTTTGAAGGAGTACTTCCAGAGTGTCTCTGTGTTAAACATCATGTTGTGGATAACTCCGTGATCTTCAATCCACCGACCTAGTGAATAAAGGAGTGAAAGTATTGGGATACTGAAGAGAAGGACAAGGTTTTGGGAAAAGGATGAATATGGGTCATGGATGTGAGACTGCTGGGAATTAAGAAGGCTTTCTGTTTGCATAAAGACCGGAAGTCAATTAGCAAGCATTTAGTAAGCATCTGCTATGTGCCAGACACTATGCTAAGTACTGGGGACACAAAGGCAAATCTACCCAATGCATGGGAAGCTTTCTTTTAGGCCAGGAGTTTTTAACCTGGGGTCCACAGAACCACATGGGGTCTATGGAAAGATTTCAGTGGGTCTGTGAATTTCTATGGGAAAAAAATCCAACCTTTATTTTCACTAACTTCTAACTGAAATTTAACATTTCCTTCACATATTTGAAAACATTCTTGAAAGGGACCCACCAGATTCCCATGACACATTGAAAGGTTAGAACCCCTGTTCTAGGCCTTAATATTTTGTGGATAGCAGAGCTATCTATACTCAGTCTGTCTTTCATATTGTCCAACTCTAGTCATACATGTCCTTGATGCCTTTTTGTAGCACTTTACATACAAACCATCTACATGTATAGGGGCTGGGGGAAAAATGAGATGGTCCCTGTCCTCCTGGAGCATACCTTCTATTGGGTGTCCATAAATAAGTAAATACAGGATATGCATACATACATATGTGTGCATAGATAAAATATAATATGATTTGGAGGAGAACTACTAACAAATAGGGGAATCAGAAAGGCCTCTTGAGAGAAGTGGCATATGAGCTGAGACCTGAATGGAACCAAAGGTTTGCATGAAACGGAGGTGAGGAAGTAGGGGAGACATGAAATCAGTCTGGAAAGGTAAACTGGAGCCAGATTGTGAAGGGTTTTGAATGCTGAATAATGGAATTTGTGTTTTATTTCAGAAGATGAGTGTGGGTAGTGTTGTCTGAAGATGAACAGAGATGGGAACATAGGGAACATTTCTAAAACATGGGACTCCCCTCCTTCCCAGGTCTCCTCCTCTAGGAGGGAGATTGTGTTTCCAAAGAAGGAAACAGAAACATCCTGGAATAAATCCTCCTAATCAACTCACCTTTGGAGTTAGTGACATGTTGACTTTGAGGTGCTGTTGGGACACAGAGACGCACTGCTGACATTTAGGAGTTAAGATCTAACTTCCCATATTGGCCTATCTGCTTCAAGACTCTGTCCACTCCAATTTATCCTCTAAACAGCTGCCAGAGTGATTTTCCTAGTGTCAGCCTGATATCACACTCCTACTTGATAAACTCCAGTGGTTTCTGGGGCAGCTAGGTGGCGCCACAGTGCATAGAGCACCAGGCCTGGAGTCAGGGAGACTCATTTTCCTGAGTTCAAATATGGCTTCGGACACTTACTAGCTATGTGATTCTGGGCAAGTCGCTTAACCCTGTTTGCCTTAGTTTCCTCGCCTGTAAAATGAGATGGAGAAAGAAATGACAAAACACTCCAGGCAAAGGCCAAGAAAACCCCAAATGGGGTCACAAGGAGTTGGATGTGACTGAACAACAAGTAGGTCTTTAGTAATAGGAGCAAATGTAAACTCCTTTGATATTTAAAGCCTTTCATAACTTGGCCCCAACATGTCTTTTCAGCCTTAGTACATATTATTTTATTCCCTGACACATTTTCCAAGATCTGGTGAAAGTGGGCTTCTTGCTGTTCTTCATGCATGGCAGTTCATTTCCTTTCTCTCTAGATGTAGATCTAGAATGTACTCTCTCTCCTCACCTTCACTTCATAGATTCCTTTGTCTGCTTCAACATTCAGCTCAAGCACCATCATCTCCTTTAAGTCTTTCTTAATTCTCTCCAGTTATTTGTGTCCTTCTACTTATATATGTGCATGTTTTCTTCCCAGAAAGAATGTAAACTTTGTTAGGGCAGGGACTATTTTGTTTTTGCATTCCCATCACCTAGCACAGTGCCTGGCACATAGTAGGCACTTAATGATACATGCTTATTGATTATTGATTGACTAATTCTTTGAAAAACAATAACCCTAGCATAAAAAAAATCATGACAGATTTTGAAAAATAATTTAAAAAGGAATATTAGGGGTGCACAGGCTTCTTGGAAACCTGCCTTTGTGTCATTTTTTTTTCCAATCCTGTCTGAAGAAAAGTTTTTATTTCTTGGTCTTCAAAGCTGGGAAGATTATATTTCATTTACAGCAAGGAAAAGCATCTTTTATGGAGTAATATCTCCGTCTTTTGTTATTTTAGAAAACAGACACCGCATTTCCTTTAAATTGTTACTAAAATCCTGTGACCAACACAGCAGCTGATGTAAGAAGTTTGGCTTTACTATTTCTCCTTTATTCACTCAGATTTACAACACCAGTCATCAAGTATGAGTTTACATATTGCCACCTTGCTTCTACCAGAAAATAGCCAAAGGTCAATAACGTATTCCAGAACGACCTGGGAGAACTCCTCTGGATGAACAATTTGGGCCTTAAGAACAGATTTCTAGTTCTTTTAGTACAAATGTAGGTACAAGTGTGGACGTGCTCTCTGATTGTCTTCACCCTTTCTCTTCCAATTCAGCCTTTCAAATTAGCTCATTTGTTGTTGTTTTTCAGCCTGTGTTGAGTCCCAATTTGATGACAAATTAGTTGTGTGAACATGAGTGGGATCTTTGCTTTCTCTGGGCTTATGTGCCAATCATCTATAAAGCATAGGTGTTGGACTAAATTATCTCTACGGGCCCTTCCATCTCTGATATGCTCTGACTCTATGACTTCTCCCTTTTCTTTTCAGATGGTAAAATAAATTGGACAGTGTGGCATAGAGGATAAAGGGGTGGCCTTGGAGCTAGGAAGACCTGTGTTCCAGGCCTGCCTCTGACACACAGTAGCTCTGTGACCATGAGCCAATCACCTTTCCTGTCAATTCCCTAGGCAATTCTATGACATTATCTATCTATCTATCTATCTATCTATCTATCTATCTATCTATCTATCTATCTATCACTGATCTCTGTTGGTGGAGTCTTTAAATTGTGAGTTCACTCCACTGAATAAGTAATTAATTAAAGTAGTCTTTAAGATTCTCCCAGCATAATTAATTTCTCATTCTGTCTGAGTAGACAAATAGCTTTTTAAAAAACTAGTTTCTAGGACCCTGGAATAGGGGTTCTTGTTTCCAGAACCTTATATTTCTGTTTTAAAAGAAATTGTGACCTTAATCATCAACAAACATTGATTGTATCTATATCATCTCAGTCTATTTTATATTTATATTTATATTTACATCTACATCTATATCTAAGTCTATACTACATCTTTTATCTCTATCTCAATCACATCCAGTTTGTTATAAGGGAGGACTTTTATGTGGAGGCCAAGAGTTGGTGAGTTAGTGGGTATTGTTATCTATGCCAAATGAAAAAAGAGTACAAATAAAGTATTTTTTTTTAATGCACAGAGGAAAACAAAAGTACAGAGGGGATGCAAATAGAGAGCACTTTTGTTACCACCTTGTTTCTTTAAAGGCAGCCCCAGATTCCTGCTGACAAACCATTCTCTGTAGCTGTGGTGAATAAACCTGATTGGGGTGAGTGGCTGCAGAGTGCTTTGGGAGGGAGGAGGATGGGGTCAGAAATCACAGAGAGAGTCTCTAAGTGCGCAGATTTTGCTGTCGTCTTAAATGCCTATCAAATGGAGACTGTGAGGTTAAGTGCCAACAAGGATTTACTATGATGAGAGGGTTTAGGGAAGGCTATTTCATCTGAAATATATTTATATAACTACTCATTTGTCAAGGGATTAAATGTCTATACTGACTTTGCCTGAAAAGTGTGAAATCTCTAGCTCTTTAGCCTCAGGGGTAAAAAGCCTGAAGGCAGGTGTCCTGCAGCTATCTCAAAACAACATCCTCATTCTTATCTGTCTGTCTTTCTGATCAGCATCAGACTTGGAGTACATCACAACTTGGATGTTTTTGCTCCCTGCTTGGTTATAGCTGGGTAGGACTAGAGTGGGATCCCACTTCACGTTTACTCAAATTTGGCCTTCTGTTTTAGAGGAAATAGTTCTGGATCTGGAATTGGAAGACCTGGCTCTGTATGCCAACTAGGTCTTACTGCGCCCAGCAGGATCTGACCATGTTACTTCCCTACTCAATAAACTCCGGTGACTCCCTATTGCCCCCAGAAGCAAATATAAATTCCCCAAGCTCTTCATGTCTCGGCTCCAACCTGAATTTCCAGCCTTATTACAATAGTACTTTCTTTCATCTACTCTTCAGTCTGATCAAACAATTTTCTTACTGCTCCTCATTTGGGGCACTCCATTTCCCATCTCTGGTGGCTGCTCTCCATGCCAGCAACACACTCTTCTCATCTTTGACTCTTAGAATCCCTAATTTCTTTGTTTTTTACATTCCTATTAAACATATTTTCACATTAGTGATGTTGTAAGCAAGAATTAGAAGCAATAGGAGGAACCACCAGAAAGAGGAAACAAAACAAAACACGAAGAAAAAAAAATATCAAATAGTATGCTTCAATCTGCATTCAAACTCCATAGTTCTTTCTTTGCATGTGGATAGCATTTTCCATCATGAGGCCTTTGGAGATGTCTTAGATCCTTGCATTGCTGAGAAGGGCTAAGTCTATCAATGTTAGTCATCACACAACGTGGCTGTTACTGTGTACAACGTTCTCCTGGGTCTGCTCACTTCGCTCCTTTAAGACTCAACTTGTTTCACCTTCTACTTGAGGCCTTTCCTGATTCTCACAGATGGTAGAGCTCTCCCCCCATCACTTTGTATCTTTTTTTGCATATATGCATCTCTTTCTCCCAGGAAAGATTATAGACTCCTTGAGGGCAGGGAGCACTTCATTTTTGTTTTTGCATTCTTAGCTCCTAGCACAGTGCCTGGCATGTAGTAGGAGCTTAATAAATGCTTGTTGAATGATTGATTGGCTTTCAGCTCTCCTACTTATGACATGTTTGAATGTGGCCAAGTTA